TCATCTTTCATAAAACCGTGAAACAAACTACTGTCACTTCTGCCTGAGGCCAATATAACACTTAATGGTGTTGCTTTTTTAGCTCTCAATACAAGAATCTGAAAGAGCTGCATCGTGCAACAGCAACGCTATGCAACGGTGTCATGTGTTCTACTCAAGTGCTGATGATGTGGAATGTGTAAACTACTAAACTAATAACCTATGCTGTAATGAATCCAAATCAGTTTCCCCTCAATACTTTGAAACTGCAAAACGCAGACATCAGTGACACAGAAATTCAAGAGTCACCAAACCAGACATAGACACACTGCCAGTTTGATCTTAAACATGAATGTGACTCACTACACTTTTATGTCAGCGCTTCCTGGCAGCGTGAGTTCAGAAGGGACAGGCAATGATGCTAGTTGATGTTGATGATGAGCATCCTGCAATTCATCCCACAAATTATCCCCATTTGATGTCCCCTTTGAAAAAGTTATGGTTAAGTTATTTTTAGTACGTTTGTTTACAATATCTATGATTTCCTTTTCTTCGAATACTTTAAGGAAAACTGAGCTTCAATTACTTTGTTCATAATAATCATCAGACACATGCCACACGTCTACATTGTGGTACTTTTACTTATCTAAAAGATAATTCTTCCAACACTGGTTTACGCCCCTGGTTCAGTGCTAACAAGACAAGCATTTCAGTATTTTTGTATCTTATGTGGCAGATCACAAAAAGGCTCAGTCAGAAATGTTTGTACGGTTATCTCCAGTCAGGACCATTTTTGGTCATCTGTACCCATGTCATAAACACTCCTAAGCCCCGAAGTTGCATGGTCAATTCATAAAGAGATGGGGAATCTTGCCATGTAGACACTTGCCATGTACTAAAAGGTCCACATAATCTCTATTCTTTGGTGTGCTTTTAGCAGTTATTGAGGGGATTGTCTTTCTTATGGGGCTTTTTGATGTAGTTAAAGGCCAAGAATAATTCTGGTTGTCAGACCGAGATTTAGTCTGAGCCGTTTCCTCAATAATAATTCCTGTGCCGGGCGCCCAGTTAGCTCAGTGGGTGCTCAGTGGGTGCTAGAGCTGGTGACCCATGTGCAGGTGTAATGACAATGAAACATGAGAATATGACTGCGGGTCAAAAAGAAAACAGGAAATGACTGTGGTTTGATCAATATCAAGCCAATATTGGCGTTATTAGGAATCCAGATACTCATAATGCCCCACATCCTATTTCAGAGCCTTCTAGTCCAAGAGCAACACAGGTTAACAACAAGTAAGTACATGCAACCTTTTTGACTTGTTGAAAGTAGTCACATTTATTGATGAGTAAAATATCAAGGCCAGACTGTTTCACTCAGTCCTGAGATAGCACAAATATAAACACAGGCATCGTTTGAGGACAGAAAACTATTTCCAAAGGGGAGACCCGTGATTGCCACCCATTTGAATGCCGAGGAGGCCAGCGAGCTTCTGGACGCTGAGGCCTGTTCTATTTCACAGTTGGGATTGCACCACCATCCCGCTGGCGAGGCCACTCTGCCTTGAAAAAAACAGGTGATTCAATGTGACGGTACCAGCCAGCTGCTGTGGCGATGGCCTCGGTCACCCCCACCAGTAGGCGCGATTAGTGATTACCAGTAAAATGTCTGTCAGTGGAAAGAATGCAGTGATAGCGAGGAAAACTAGATGTGGTCCAGAACACAGTCATTTTCCAGGCTAGAGGCACTGAGACGAGTTCTCATAAAATGAATGCAGCAAGTTGACAATCTGAATGATTAGTCACATTGCAGCCCCGAGGCTCACTACTCCTTGCAGATCCAATAGGACCTGAGCTAAATAACTGGTTTGCCAGGTGAAACAGAAGTAAACAACATTATGATTGATTGATTGCCCTGCTTACACCCAAAAGCTAACACTCACATCCTAGAAGCTTGATTGCTATAAATGTTTGTTCTCATCAACAAGAAAGTCAGCTCGGATTCATGGTGGATGCAATGCATTACACAATGGTGTTGCACTATGTTCTTCCTCTAAAACTGTTGTTAAATGCTTATTGCAGTGTCATTGGTTCAATCATGGGTTGGCCACTAAGTATAATACTCCTTACCTAAAGCTCTGAGGTAAAAAATAAATAAGGAAATTATAACGTTGTCAAGCAAGCATGTCTGCTCTGCTGAGTGTGATCACATCTTTTTTTTACCAAGTGCAGCACAGCAGAGCTTGTTCAGGGAACACTAGACAAACTTACCACATCCCCCCCAAGTCCATAAACAGTCAGCACAGGGAGCAGAGTAAAAAAACCCTGTCGTCATTGGTTCTGATAAATGAACCTTTACTAACTAACTTCACTAATTGCTAAATGATGCGGCTGTGTTGACTCAATAGTTCCACAGCATCTGGTTATAATCAGATACTGCCTTTAAAGTCACCATAGTGAATAATGCACTGGTACAGATACAGTACATTCTACAACAAAATGTTGCATTCAAATACCTATTACTTATGAATATTGGGTTCAAGCCACAGTTCAACACACTAAAGAGCTAAAGATATTTACAGCCAGGTCTTATACACAGACTGTCTTGTATAATAATGCAAAATATTTATATAATGAAAATGTGCAATGATCTGTTACACGGATTACAATTATCTTGCAGCCCTAACAGTGTGAATCTGGGTACAGTCCCAGTCAGCAGAGAATTACTGCAGAGTCCATCCTGACCGGGGCCCACTGGCTCAGGTTCAGAGGTATACACTCTGTGAGGAACGTCTAAACACAAGATTGGTCCGGCTGGGAATGGACGCCTTCAGCCATCTTCAGCACAGACATTTCTCCCTTTAGAACAAACATGGCGCAGTTGTTTAGTACTACTTAAAAGAGGTCTATACAATTAATTGATCAAGTTGGCAAGAAAATGGCTGACGGCACAGCACCACTAAAATCCAGTAAGAAAAAACATTCAAGGCTATACCATGTGGAAAAGTTGGGATGTTTAAAAAGTAATAAACCTCCTTACATAGTAATTATAAATCGCCATAACTAGGGAAACAAAGATGTGCCAGTTCCAACTAAATGCTTTATTTCTCTTGGCTGAGGAAATACACATAAAATTATGCCTGCAACAGTAACAAAAAAGAAGAAGAAAAGAAGAACAGATTATTGTTAATAAATAACAAGATTAGGTTCGCAGCTGCCCAATCAATAGCAGAGCTCTTAGTCATTTATAAATGTCAAAAAAACTAAATGAGGTGCTACAGCATGTGTGACTGAAATTGAATTCCCTCCAAAATGGCTAAATTATAGAAAGCTCATACGCTGCTCAGTCAGACTGCTTCCTTGCTCATCTACTGACACAAACAAACTTCAGAGTCAAAGTCAAACAGATAGACAGAGCTCCTAAAGAGTAGTATGGATTATTCATTGATGCACGCAAACAACAGAATACATAAAAGGTGGCAGATGTCTTGAGAGCATTTAAAAATCATTCAGGATGACAGAAAGTATGAAATATGTAAAAAGTGTACAGTACAGAACAAATATATTTCAACAAAATATGTTTTACTTTCAAAACAAAGAATGACAGTTATGTAACATATCTAGATGAAACTGCCCTGTGCTGCAAATATTACTTACAGTGTTTTGCTGTGAGCACACAGCTCCGATTTGTCAAGAGAATGGATAGATGACGTATGGTCATGAGAGATACAGGGGCAAAGCTAAATATACAAGACAGAGTTCTGGCAGCTTAAACTATACTCCACCACATTACACTGACAGCTCTTCGCCCATTTAAAACGTACTGTACAATCTCTGAAATACATTGGTATGAATGGGAAAAGCTGAACACAAGTGCTGTGTTCATTACAGGTCATTTCTTAATATACTGTAGCGCTGGGCTCAATGCACAGCCGATGAAGTTCAGATCTGGCTGTTTATTGGAGCATGGCAGGAGACAAATCAACATTATAGCTCATTAATCTCTGGAAAACTCAAATGCACAGCAACTGTAACCTCCTTTGTGGAGAGGAGCATGGTTGCAGTGAGAGACTGGGCACCAGATGCTGCCAGTTACTGTAATTGCTCTCTGAAAGCAGCTCATTGAGTCAGCTTAAAAATGCACATTATTGTATACAGTCATGGAGAGCTGCAGATGTGCAGGCACACACACATTTAGTTTGTTACAAGTTCTACTGACTTTCATTCATTATCTCAAAGCAATGAGCAGCTTCAATCGATACAGTGAACCTGGCAGGAGGTTTTAAACCAGGTATGTTTGGCTCATACACACACAGACAGCCTGGCTCAGTTAACACAAACGGTAAGGAATTAGAGGGTTTAGTTTCAACAACTCCCAGGACTGATAGAATGCATTATGCTTTGGAATGAGTCACACAGGTGAAGTGCATATGAGGTAAGTCCAACATCCTGCCATCACTGTGTTTGTGCAATTGTGTAAGTGAAGAGAGTCAATCAAAGACTAAAAATAAACCAACAAACAAAACATATTGTGAAAAATGCAGGGAAATATAGCTACTGATGCAATTAAGAGCAGCAGAGAAAGGACAAGAGCCTTCCGGCCTTCAACACTTTCACAGTATGCTTCCATATGGGACCCTGGCAGCTGGAAACTACTCTACATCCTGACAAGTCTAGCAAGACAAACACTCTAGTGTATGTAAGAGCACGGACATTGATGCAAGGTATCCAGTTCCAGCCACTTATAGTACTTAATTATTTAATGTAACCCAGCTTTCTGAATTTATACAGTACATGTGACACATTGTGAATTTCTATGGAGGTGGACCACAGTAAAATAGCATCATTACAAGAACAGGTGTTGGCAAATGGGTCTTTACCTTTTCAACATAACATTCAAAGTGAAATGTTTCTATTACAAATGTGTGATTTCACAGTTTAATGCAATTTAATGAAAAGCCTTATCACAAATGATGATCATTCTGTCTCTATATGCATCCATGTCTCCATTATCAGCTTCTTACCTGAATGCTGAGTGAAATGCGGCCTTGGATGTCTGCTGATCTTCACAGCTGAAAACACAAATGGTGGACAATGCATGAGACAAATGCACATCATATGCATACATTTCTTTACATATAGAAAGATAATAACAACCCTTTCCTCGGTTTTTCAGACACCAATTATTAATAATCAAGGAAACCGATATTTGCAACCGATAAACATTTGCAATAACTTTATTATATATTATAATTTGTTGATTCACATTATATAAACGTACATAAACAAATGAAATATTTACTTTTAGTACTTTAAGCACATTTTGATGCCAATACTTTTTTGTGATTTTACTTAAACTTGAATACAGGACTTTTTATCTTAACAGTATTTGTACAATGTGGTGTTGCTACTTCTACTTAGATAGAAGATCTGAGTCCTTTAAGGATATGTTTAATTAAATGTTGCACAAGAGAATAAAAAAAAAAAAAAATTAATACTCGTACATGTCACAAGTAATAGTGACATGTAGCCAATCAGATAGTAAGGCAGGAAGTGAAACTACAGACAGAGAGAGGCAGTTGCATCAGAGCCAAAATACTGCATTTTTTAATGTATTTATTTTATCTGCAAATAGGATTAAAAAAAAAAAAGATAGATAATCAGAGAAAATGTTGTATATAAGCTCTGATAATCATTCTATCTGTAATCTGAATACAAATGTAAGAAATGTATCCCACATAGTAGTGATTCTGCTCCATAGACAGCTTCTGGCACAAAATGCTCAGAAATATATTTTTAATTGGCTATTCCATATGTGGCAGCACATGAAGATAAGATACACTGGAGACAAAACAAATTACAAAATGCAAAATAATAAGAATTTTGCTGTTATAAATAAGGAGACAATTACAGCTGGTTAAATGGATGAATGCAAATTCAGAAAGCATCAAACATAGAAAGAATATGCTATTCAGTTGCTTTCCCAATGCACCAGTGCAAATAAGAATTTTCTAAGCAGACTGGAACATACAGTATTATTAAATAGTGAAATATAATATGACATCATTGTTGGATATATAATTTAATTTATGTAACAATGCAATTCAATACAACATGTGCGTGTACAATGAAAAGTCAGTCAGTGACTTCATATCAGGAGGTTTCTAAACAACTTTAACTTGCCGTTGCTGGTTAAACTTGCCCTACTTACCGGTGCCCAAGGCAAATATTTACTCAAAGATTTTGTATAAAGAGATTGTACAGTATTGTTATCAGAGCCACTCAGAGCATTTTTTAGTTGATCGTAACGGCTTCATTTAGCTCGAACAAAACTCAAGTCTAGGCTTTTTGCTGACCCATTGCACCCCAGGCGGGGCAGCTTTCAAAAACACCCCACTGTGCTTTAAAACACTTCCCATGCCCCAGCCACACAGTGCTGTAACAACCACAGAGCCAGCATGAACAAATAAACAGCTGTCAGAACGTTCATTAAACGATTTCAAAGGTCATCGGGGAGTGATAAGAGCAGAGCCTTTGGGGTTCAAGACTGGTCACTTTACATCAATTCTGCTTACTTGGTGCCACACCCTGAACGTGCTGCTGCTGGATGATTGATATTATTAAAAAGAAAATAGAAACAACTGCTTGTGCTTCAGATTCCTTTGATAATATCAGCCCTCCTGACCACGACATTGAGGACAACGCGCTTGAAAACCAGGAAAACACTTTACAGTTGAGTAGACTGCATGACAGCAGCTGCAGCAAGACCACGGCTCTCCCTAGACGTCCCTCTCTGGTCCTTACAGCTGCATCAGTTTAGCGTTACAGGCCATGTGTCTTGGAACCTTAAATAATTTAGTAAGAGGTTTTGGAATCTGCCAATGGAAAAGAAAAAGCACATTGCACTAAGATTGACCGGCTGATATATCTGAATCAACATCATCACTGTTATGGAGTTTGAACTGTTTAAACTGACTTGCTGCAGCATTGTGCCTCCTGTCTACACCACCAGCTGTGGCTCGCTTTCACCGACAAGCTGGTGATCGGCTAGCTTGTTCATGTAAAGAAAGATCCACCACTCTGTTGGTCTTTTTGGAGAGCATAACCATTCAAAATAGTACAGAGCAGGTATTTCTGTTCGACAAAACCATCTTTGACTGTGAAAGAAGAGAACGGTAACCAGGCACCAGCCAAGAGTTTCGTTCTGTAGTGACATCGACTCTGAGGAGCGGTATTAATTAGCTACAGCTGGCTAAATTAGCAGGCGATAGTGTAGTCATTACAGCAGACAACATCGATGGTCACCAAATAGTCCTTTCACCTCCTACAGCTTGTTAAGACATTGTTAATGTGTGTTTAAAGCTGTTTACAACTGCAGCTCTTATGCGCTTTCAAATAATGATCATCCAGTCGGTAACAGGATCACAAAACACACATTCTAGCAAATGATCTACTCTAGGACACTTCTTCTACTTAGTAAATAAAAGTCCACTACATCTAGTATACAGTGAAAACACAGATGCCACATGTAGTCAAGTATAGCATGGTCTGCAGACAGTTTGTGGTATTTTTGCAGTAGAAGTTTCAAAATGTTCTGGGACTAGAATAAACCATAGCAGGACAACTACAATATTTCACAATTGGCAGTGTGGGTTATTACACCTGTCCATGCTGCACAGTATAATGCCCACAGCCAGAGTTAATGACATGGGCTGCAGCCGCTCCACTGACAGGCTGGAGACTGATGGGGACAAGGGACAGACACTCTCAAGGTGGATCATTGGAGAGAAAAGCAACAACAGACTGCAGGATCTCACCGTCGTGCAGGTCCTCTCTTCCTCAGGAGGGTTTGCAGGCACTGCAGCCTCTCACAACACATGCTCAACAAGACTGTCATGTATCAGCCATGCAAACCTCTACGCAGGTAAAGTGATTTGTTTTCACACAGTGTGATAGAATTAAGCATCTTCACAGGAAAATAAGGCTGCGGCATCTTAATCCATTAATTAATCCACAGAGAGCAAAAGAATCCCAAACAATGTAATGTTAGACGGTCAAATCCTAACAGCTGCATTCTCATGAAAGCAAACATTGTCTGGTGCTCATAACTGTCTATCCGGCATCTGATTACCTGCTTACTCATCAGGCCCCCCTCAGAGCGCAGCTTTAGCTCAGGCCGCTAGCTGCAACAACCTGTCCCTTGAGTGTCATTGACTTGCTGACATTGGCAGGGGAGCAGGAAAAGGTTTTGGATTTCTTGCTGGGAGGTAACTTATTCACACAGTGACTCCCTTTTCAAATTCCTCTGAGGAGGTCAAAAAAATATGCATAACAGTAAGCTCCATTAGCGTGTATCCACTAAAGTACAGCGATTAAAAAGGTTGAGGAATGTGACAGTAATTCTGTTTTAATGCTATTTTTCATTTAGTTCACGTGTAAATCTACTAATGGGTACAGGTGTTTACAGTTTTTCTATTGGATTATCTCATTTGAATTGGCAAGTTGCATCTTATCAGCCCCCATGGATGTAAAACACCATTGGTCTCCAGTTGAAATTACTGGTAATTTTTCAGTATTTCAATATTTCGGTGTATTTGTGAGAGAGACCTATCATCCAACGTTGACGTGTAGGAATTGACATTCAAGGAATCAGTTATCTCAAACTGGCAAAGTAGCAAAATGTGTGATCTAGTGTTACTTGTAACATTTAAATAATATTGTCCTACGCAAAACGTTACTCAAACTGTATTCTCCAATGTTTATGCTCCATAATAATAGATGGTTATTAAAGGTGCCAAGTAACAGGGCCTTATATTATATTAAACCCACATCAAAACACGGGGAAAACTTTCTCACAGATCAAACGACACAATAGGAAAGGAATCTCTGAGCTGAAAATAATGTGACAATGGAGAAATGCTGAGCCCTTGCCTCCAGGTAAATAAACGTGAGCACCCGAATTAAACAAAACATGTTTGAGGAGAGAAAAACCTTATCTCACACAACAGTAGAGACATTTGCATTCCTGTTATTCTCTTCTCTCAGCCTGCAGGGGATTGCTTTGAGCAAAACTCAACATGCTTAGTTTAGGAAATACCACCTAGGGGGGTGAGGGGCTCAGATGCTTGTGCTTAGAAATCTAAATTAACTCTCAGTACTTTCTTGTTAAATTGGCTCTTGTCAAATCTGTCAAGAGCAAAAAAATGACAGGAAATAAGGCTGGTGAAAAACTGAATGAGTGTGGAAACTCCTCCGATCCCCTGGGGATTCCAGAGGTGGTGCGCAAGGGCACATCGCCACCGGCAATCTTAAGAAGTACAATGTGCCACTGGAGACTTCATTGTTCAGTCCGGTTCAGTTTCATTAATCACACACTGCAGAGGAGGACCAGAGTGGGGACAGGTCAGACAATATGGTGCCTGGGGAACACCTTGCTTCAGCCCCAAAAATGAGGAAGCTTTAATAAAGCTGCCCAGTATGACTTCTTGCACCATCAACACAGCTGGATTACATGCAGGTCAAAAAGACAACTCATATTATTAACAGAAGGTGCATGTATGAATATGTGTAAGGGAGGAAATGTGTGTGTGCAATAAAGCATCTTTATCATCTGGCACATTAAATACCCACCAAGCAAAAAAAACATAAATCTGAATTCTCCATATTAACCTGATTTATTGCAAATGCAGTTGTTGTCACCAAGCAGCTCCACTAAAACAAATGGGGGCTGGGTGCTGAGTTCCTTGCTGTAGGCCACCTCAAAGAACAATGGCAGCTGTTCACTAGCAGGGGNNGGGGGGGGGGGGGATTACTCATGCCCATACATTTCCCCCCCAAAACATTTAAGCACACACAACTTTACAAACTTGATTCTCTCAAAGGAATAGCTGCACTTAGGGACATTTCTTGCAAAAAGTGAGATGAGAGGATCAATACCACCCTCTTGTCAGGCCATTAAATGTGTAGCTACAGTTGTATGCAAAAGTTTGGGCACCCTTGACAAATAACATACTTTGGTCATTTTTTTATTGAAAAAATGTAAACACTAGCCATTTCCCCTGTTTCCAATCTT